GACTTTGGGGAGGGGGCGGAGTTGGGGCGGGGGCGTGGGCGGGGCTGGGGGCGGGGGCGGGGGCCCGTGGAGTGTCCTCCATTTGGAGGCACAAAATATGGTAACCCTAGTTCAGAGATCACTTGCTTTCAACTACTTTGACATTAGAACTGTGCCAGACTTGGGGTACATCTACACCACCCGCCGGATCGGCGGGTAGTGATCGATCTATTGGGGATCGATTTATCGCATCTAGCGTAGACGCGGATAAATCGATCCCCAATCGCTCTGCCGTCGACTCCGGAACTCCACCGCCGCAAGAGGCGGAAACGGAGTCGACGAGGGAGCGGCGGCCGTCGATCACACACCGTGAGGACACGAAGTAAGTGATTCTAAGTCGATCTAAGATACATCGACTTCAGCTACGCTATTCTCACAGCTGAAGTTGCGTATCTTAGATCGATCCCCCCCGCCACACCCAGTGTAGACCAGGCCTTGGAATACAAAGTGCCCCTGAGTATTCCACAGATAACTGGCCTGTGTCTAGGGGCTAAGATCAGTGGGGCCATCATTGTATGATTTTTCCCCGCTTTTTCACAACTCTCCTAGGAATACTACCTCTAGAGCACAGCACAGTATAAGAAACTCCAAGCATAAGGCAGTCGGAGTTGCAGTAGGCACTTGCAGGCTGAACTGCAATTAGCATTACACAAAAACGGTTCCATCCCGTAAAAACGTACCTAGGTCCTTTTTCAAAGTGCCTATGCACGCATTCGGAATACTCGCGTTGGAACGGACATGCAGGATTGAGCCCTCAGAGCCAAACCTGAACACTCTTGAACACTCGGAGCTCCCATTAAAATCAATGGGGCCTCTTTGGCGGATGTTATAACGTGTGCAGAGAGCATTTGCAAAAGGGGCTCAAGCACAATCCCAACGGATCAGGCCCCAACTTTTAAAATTTGTTTCCTTTCAAGAGATACTAAAGGCAGACGTGTGGGTTCTGTGCTAGTACAGTGCAGTCTAGAAAGAGCAGGAGTTCGGAAGTCCATGTTGTAACACTGAATCAAGTCTGGTTTTTAAATCAGATTTTAATTGCAATAAACCACCTGCCGTAAAATTGAACCATTTTGAAAAAAGCAGACTGCTTTTGGGCAAACATCCAGAAATAAGCACAACCTAAATGCAGAAGCTCTCAGGTTTGGGCCATGAGGCTCAGTGCTGCATACACATTCTCACTCAAGTACTCCTGATGTGTGAACAGACACCTTAAAGACGTAAGTAGGGGTTTTTTTTAAAAGCAGAATAAATGAGTATTCTAACCAACGCAAAAAGAAACCAGGAATATACTTTTCTATTTAAAAGAAAAGGAAATTATTTTCTATATATTGCTTCTTTCAAAACAAAATAACGTTTCATTCTTCAAATGAGTGTGGAATAACGTTGTCGGCACGGGGAAAGGAATTACAACACCTGACACAAAGGAAGGGTTGCACAGTGTCCTACCACAACTTCAGAAGGCGAGTAGTCTGGCACCAGAGCTTTACATGTGTTCTTTCTTCCCCAATAAAAACCACTCTCCTCTTTGCGCATACCAGCATTGCCAAATGAGAGAGAGAGATGGCAACATGTGTTGAAACATGTGTGTTGTTAGTTCACTATCCTCATTGCATGAGCGCCTAGAGGCGGCAACAGAGATTGAGTCCCTATCCTGCTAGATGCTGTCCAAACACATAATAAAAGACAATCCCTTTCTCAAAGAGCTTACAGCCTCCATAGGCAAGACAGACAAAAGGTGGGAGAAAAGAAAGACTTCTATCTATATTCTCCAGATGGGGAACTGAGATAGAAAGATTCAAGAGAAGACTGTCGGAGGCACAAACGTTTGCGTTTCCAAAACTCTCCCCCAAATCACACAGGAGGAGCCTGGGAATGGAGCCAAAGTCTCCTAAAATTTCAGCCCCATGCCTCATGCGCAAGGCCTTTCCTGTCTACACACAAGCCGTCAGCATGAGTACATTGTTCGCAGACAAGATTCACAGCCACGTTACAGATCTATAACGAATACTGCAACAAAGAGTTTATCCAGTACAATGGCTTCTGTGTAGTGCCTTCCATCAGAGATCATTCGTTATATGTCACGGTAGAAAACCTTCAGTCCATACTGCACACTATCAGCAAAGTTGAGTGACAAGGCAAATAAATGACATGTATTATTCATTGTGTGTCTTACCATAGTGCGTATGAGCCCCAGTCATAGACCTGAGCTCCATGGCAGTACAAACACGAAACCAAAAGACAGTGCCTGCCCTGAAGAGCTCACAGTGTAAGTATGAGACAGGACATAAGTGGCTAAAAAGAGATGGGAACACAGGGAAACCAAAAAAATATTGATGACGGGAAGCAGTCCCACCATTCCAGCTGCGTAACCATTGTCTTTTGTAGGCATCATGGCAGAGGAGAGTTGTAAGGAGGATTTGAAGGAGTACAATGAGGTGGCTTTGCAGATGTTTACCAAGGAGCTCCTCTCATGCGTAAAAAATGGCCTGGGAGAAAGCACAAAGGTGCTTGTTTGAAAATGTAACAAGTGGGTGATGAGGGCTGGCACCATTAGCAGAGCCGCGTGGGGGGAGCTGACACCTTAGCAGCACATGCGAGATGATAGGCAATCAGCCATGAAGGACCTGAAAACTGATATGTCAGCGGATGGAACATTGCAGTGCTCCTGATGCATCTCACACGACTGCAATCCATTTTTCTGCAAGGACATAAACATGTTCTCTTTCCACTCACCTCAACAGGGAATCTCTTGCCGTTGATGCTGTGCTCAGAGCCTGCGGATCCATTGCTCTGACCCCAATGAAATTCCACTTTTTCGGCTTTGAATCTACCCGGCAGCCCAGCACCGCTGATGAAATAATCGTCCTTCAGAAGGATAGCGACTGCACACACAAGACAAAGAGAGGGACAAAGATTTTGAGTGTATGTTTGCTATAGTGTTTATGATGATTGATGCACAGTTGCTGGTTACAATGGCTTTCTTTTTCTAACCATATGCAAGTCCAGGAGGATAGGAAAAGCACTAATACGAACAATACAAGTGAATTAGGGAGAGCTCGATCCCATGGAAACAATGGGAGATTACCAAAGTTTCTCCATAATCTCAGGAAAAACTTCCTAACTGTAAGAACAGTAGGACAATGGCAGTTTTCAAAAGGAGGCTGGATAGCCCTCTGTGTTGGATGGCATCTTGGCAGGGGGTTAGATTAGATGACGCTTGCGGTCCCTTCTAGCCCTATGGTTCTATGATGCCATCAAAAACATGAGCCAAAGAGGAACCTTCTCGTCTCTGCTGGCAAAACAATTACTACAGTTCGCTTCACACAGCGGCCAGACTCCCCACGCCTCAGTCAGCACCATGTAAGGCAGCTCTGCTCCACCAGACCATTCCTGATGAGTGAGGAAGGGCTCTGTTCCCACTCCACCAGTGGGACAAAGCTGTCATGTGAACAAGGATCTTCCTCCCTTGCCATCCATAAGTAATCCAACCCCCTCTTTCCCCACACTGAGCCCAGGGGTAAATGCAGCGGTGGAACAACAGAAATCCTGCAGAGCTTCCAGAGGGGGAGAAATGGGACCCATGGAAGGAGGAGGACCCACGGATGGAGGAAAAAGATTTTCTAGGTGGGGCATAATTGCAGCTGGCATCTTCCTCCAATCTGCCCTGGGAGGAGGTATCTTCACCCCAATAGAACCGTCTCATCCCTGCCAACCATGTGATTGTGCCCTAGGGCATCCAGAAGAGATTAGCACTATACTGCCAGTCTGAAGGATATTCCCCACTGCAGTATGGCCTTCGTCACACAGAGGCACCAGGGACAGGATTCGCTCCTATATTTTCCATCTAGGGGCTTTATACAAGCAAATAACTTAACCACGTGTATAACTTTAAGCAC